CGTACGTGTATTTAAGAATGTATGTGTGATTATCACATTTGTGTAAATACGCATAATAAGGAAATATTCAATAAACCTAAACATATGAACATATTTTCCTGAAATATTTTAATTATCTCAGGAAGTAAAATATGCCAATAAAGTAATTCAATTGAGATATGCATAGATTCCAATTAATATATACAATAAAAAATTAAATAAAATTACAGTTTCATGAGTTTTAGGATTCTAACGTATAGGCTCGTATTCGGATAGTGCTTAACCCCTTCCCGCTTACGACCTCAGCCACCACAAAGTGGAAACGCGGCCGCTTAGCCATCGTTTTATTGTTATCCTTTGCTCAATAAGCAATTGCTCACGCAACGCACATACATGAGTTGGAAAAATTGCCTATTAAATGTTTATTTTATTATGAATTCTGGGGTTTTTACCGGTAATACAGATTTTTAATTAAGAAGGCTTTTCATAATTATAAATTTGTTATATCATAGAAATTGAAAACATAAATCTAAATAGGTATGCGCAACGATTTTTCATTTAGGAATATTCGTTGTGTCTATTTATAGCATTTCGCACATTGCGTGGTGTATTTTTCTTTTTCGCAGTTATATTTTTCGATGTTCCCTCATCTGGAATTACAAATTAGTACTCAAAAAGATTTCATTTAACATTTGGTCCTTCTCTATTCATTTACGTTCTCTGGTAATACGACATCTGATATTGCTAATATTCCTTACGCAAAAACCTAACTCTTCAATTTCACTTTTAATTGTTTCGATTGGTGTAGAAAAATTAAGATTTTTAACTACAACTCCAAACGAACGCTCTTGTTTTATTTTGTAATGTTCGGCGAGCTGTATATTGTTCTTTTGTTTGATCGTGTTGTTTAAATTCATCGCCAATCCATAACTGCTTCGATATCTAATTGTAATTAACAGCGTTTTGGTTTGTCAATTACATATTTTACGTTTCGCAAATTAATTTTGCTGATTCGAAATTCTGATACAGAAATAAAATTCGGTGCTCACAATTTTTGAAGCTTTCGATGTACATATATTAAGGGATGTACATTATTTATAGAATGCGAATATTTTTAGACACAAACTGTGAAGATATGATGTTTCCTCATTAGAATATTGAGGTTATAAAAAACACTCTAGGGTTATGTTGTTGTTATAAAAAATATTAAAAAAGTGTTTTTCAGTTTTTTGAAAATAAGTCTTATTATTTAAAATTACGTAGGTTGCCTTTTATATTTCAGGATTTGGCAACCCTCTTGTTGCAATCTGGAAATTCACAACTTTATCGTAAAGTTTGACATTTTTGATGTTATACATACTCAGAACGTTTTGGCATACGAGCGCTATTTGTGTTATTTACAGTAACTTAAAATTTTCATCTCGGCCAAAAAATGGAATTCAATCGCGAACACTTTCGCACTATTATTTTTTACAACTTTCGATGTGAATTAACTCAGCAACAGAGCATCGATGAACTCAATTCAATTTTGCCGATGAAGCTTCATTAAGGACCAGTGCTTATCGATGGAATGGTGAATTTAATCGAGGTCGTAGATCACTTCATGACGAATTTCGTGAAGGTCGTCCAAAATCAGTTGTTGTTTCGGAAACAACTGATTTTGTGCGCAAACTGATATTGCAAGATCGTCTTGTGACCTATCGTGAGATTGAGACAACTATAGGCATTAGTGGGACCGGCAAAGATTCAATATTACATGAAAATTTGACTGTAAAAAAAATTTTATCACGTTGGATCCCACACAATTTGTCAGTCACTCAAAAACTGAGTCGTGTCGATTGGTCGAAAGAAATGTTAAAAAAGTACGATAGCGGTGCTCCGATTTATTTACCCGTATGAACCCGAAAGTAAACAGCAGTCGACTTTATGGATGTTTCCAGATGAGCCGAATCCAACAAAAGTTTTTCACGCACAAAGCATTTCGAAGCAAATGGTTGCCTGTTTTTTTGGAAAAACTGAACATGTCGCAACCATACCACTAGAACAACGCAAAGCAGTAAATTCTGAGTGATACACAAGCATTTGTTTGCCAGTTGACTTTCAAGAAATCAGGAAAACCAACCGCCGAAGACGGATCACTCTTCATCACAACGATGCGAGCTCTCACTCATCGACTGAAACAACTGCATTTTGAGCACTCAAATCATCTATTTGATGAGTCATCCACCGTATAGTTTTGAATGGGCACCGAATGACTTTTTCCCGTACGTAAAAAATAAACTAAGATGTCAACGTTTTTCTACACCTGAAGGCGGGTAATGCGTTTAGAATGCATGTTTTGGAGATACCTCAATCAGAGTAGCAAAAAGGCTTCAACAATTGGTTCGAACTAATGCAAAAATATATATGTAGATCTTAATGGAGAATATTTTGCAAAACAATAAAGCGATTTTAGATGATTAATATTTGTTTTTGTTCTATAATCATAAAATATTAACACTAGAACTACGAACCGTTCAAAATGACCGGTTGCATTATTTATTTACACCATTTCCTCTTTATTCCTATTTAATATTTCACGATAATGTCTTGATTGTTATTGAATTTGTGTATAGAATAATATTATAGATTATTTTGTTCTTACTCTTTTAATTTTCAGAGAGAGAGAGAGAGCTATTTGAAATAGGTATATGGTAAATCTTCGTAGTTCTAGTGTTAAAGACAATTCTCGTATTAAGAAAAACTGATTTGGATTTTCTTCTAAGTTCAGTTTATTTTCTAACTTTCACTAGTATTGTGAATTTTTATATGTTTAATGCAATAATAATTTGTTACTCTACTATATCTTGTTCTTAGCTAAAACTTGTGAAATATCTTTTAATGCAAAAGCCTCAAATCACCTCTGTTGGCAGAGAGCAAAACGGAAGCCGTACTTATTACTGGCAGGAAAATCCGGGAGACTGCTACATTCAGCATTAAAGAAAAAGCTTCAAAAGCATGTCGAGCTTCAACCCGAATGATGCTTAACAACCGAGGACCAAAGCAAAATAGGAGAAGGCTCCTGACATTTGCCATTTGCGCACTCAGAGTATGCTCCGCGTTTCGTACGGTGTCGGAAGATGCTGCCCTTGTAATCGCGGGCTTGCACCCATTAGACCTCTTAGCCAAAGAGATTAACGGCCTTACCACCCAGAACCCTAAGGGTGCCTGAAGAGTGGACGCTGAGAGCCGAACCGAGCGTAAAGCTGATTTTGATCAGCGCTGATCAATTTAAGATACCGCGGAGTGGATGCGAGATTTAGCGCTGATTTTCGCGCGTACTTTTCTATAATGCTGGTATATATTAGCTTTTTTATCTGGAAATTTTATTTGTGCTTATGCCAGTGATACAAAAAGAAATGAGGTTCTCAGATAAAGAATATTTTGCTTCCAGCTCTGTGCTAAATATTAAAAAAAAGTTTGGGAAACATCGATAAATACAAAACGGAATAAATTTGGCGAATATCACCACTTGTATTAAGATTTTAGACGTCAACCGCTAATTTTTTTTAATATATAATATATGTACCGTTTCAACGCCACTCTGCAGGCACCCTAAGAAAAAATGCTCGAGCAGAGACGTTGAAGAGGTGGCAAAGGCGGAGGGAAGTCAGTCGAAATGGATGTTGGACGTTCCGACTTATTCCCAACATGGACTCATGGCTAAAAAAACCACACGGCGAGGTAGATTTTTACTTAACCAAAATTCTTACAGGGTATAGATGTTTCAAAGCATATTTGAAACGATTCAAGCACGAAAATGATTATATATGCGATATTTGCGGAGGCAAGACAATTCAGAATGTGGAGCATACGTTGTTCCATTTCCTGCAATACGAGCACGATAGGTGATACCTTAAGAGTGCATTCGGTATAGACCCAACCCCAGAAATTTTACTAGACCAAATGGTTGATTCAAAAGACAAGTGGAATGCAGTGTGCGAAATAGCCGCCAAATTCCTAAAAACTGAAAGAGCCCGACAACAGTAGAGAAGAAGACAACTCCAAAACTAAACGAACCACTAGAACGTGGACCAAACAAACGCATACCAAAAGTAAAAAGAATATGGAAAGGGTTTGGCTACAAACATTGGACGGGGCGGGATCAGGGACCAACAGAGGTGTGATTAAGTAACTGCAACTTGTAACTGAATGCATTCAGATTATTACAAACATGTGAGCATTGCTCAAACATCCTCCCGACGTAATACTTGACGGTGGCACCGGGGGGATCGGTACATGACGGTAGGTGGTTTAGTTTGGATTAAAGTTCCACACTGACACGGGTTTCTGGGTTTCGATGCTTCCTCCTCGTAAAAAAAACCTTGGTTGGTATATGTAGATATGTATGTATGTACATATTGTACATATATCTATTATTCAACATTATAGTTTAGTATTTGCCGAAACAAAATACTTCTCTTTTAATAAGTTGGTGTGTGGTGTTACAATACAATGGCGTTTAGTAATGTAAGTACAGGACGACATGTTGCAACGGATGTTTTGGTACTCTCTCATGTGCAGACATTCGTGATTGGTTCATCACACAACAGCCAATGGGCGATAACAGACAAAATTCCATGCAATGACAACAGTACCGAGAGTAACAGCTGTCTGAGAGAAAATAAGCAATCAGAATTACTCGGTTTGCAGAGGTACTCTCAAATTTTAATTTCAATGGTCTCTTTCCTCCATGGCATATTTTTTCTGCCTATTTATAATGAATGCATATGTATAATTGTGTATTGTTGCATATATTTTTAACCAAAATAATTAGCATTAAAAGCATTAAAATTTACAAAGTCTCAACTGTGTAAAAAGGTTGGTTCATTATATAACAATTTAATAAGTTTCTCACAATTGTTAAAAATTTAGATATTTGTGTGGGACTCTGAGAGTTTTTTTTATCTTACTATCACCTCTATATAGTGACTGCAGTAGTCGTTAAAAAAAAAGGGCAAATTGTTTCAATATATACTTACGCTTGGTATATTATCACTATTGCAAACTTGCTCCGACAATAATCGATCTCTTATTTCCCACGCGAAAATGCTCGGACATTCTCGTTTGTAATCCGCGATTTTTTGTACCACAGGCGTTGTAGCAACACGTGGTTTGGAACCCCCTATCGCGCGCGGCTTAATGGATCCCGTCTCGTAATATCTGTAAACAAAAATGTTAACAGTCAAAAGGTCTTTGTAAGGAAAATATTTTAAAAGTATACTGAGTACACTTCAATCTTTGTGAATTCTATTTACCTTCGTAAAAGAATTATATGTGCAATACATCATCTTCAATTTAAAGTATCGAAAACACATTATATATTTTGATAGTATATATTTTTATTTATGGCTTCATAGGATGTAGTAAACCAAAACAAAATTCAAATTATATTTGCATTTTTTATGTCAAACATTATACTTATATATTACTTAAGTTTCATAGAAGATAGTTCCATAGAGATCTCCTTGCAATTAATATAAAATATTATTATAGCAAGTATATGATAAAACTAACTTTAAGTCATTGAAATGTTAAATATTTTCAGTACCTAATAGTATTACCTTTATGTACTTTTACCAAACACAGTTTTCGTGGCATGGACTCTACTAGGTTTGGCACTTTTTAACTGCTTCATAGTATCATACTGCATGGCATGTGCATATACTTTAGCAGAAAGTATACCCCGAAGATCCTCTATTGGGTTGAGATCAGGACTCAAAGCTGGCCAATCCAATAATTGGATATTCCGGGACTGAAAAAAGTCTTTTGTAGCGCGAGCCACAAGAATGGAGGTGTTGTCTTGCTGAAATATCCAATTTTTGTCATGAAAGTTCTCAACAAAAGGAATGAGCGAACTATCTAATAGATCAATGTATACTTCGGCATTCACTTTACTCGTTAAAAGCACATATGAGATATACTTTTAGCGCTAAAGGCAGCCCATACCATTAAAGATCCCCCACCATGGTTTCGCTTAAGGCAAGTCTCTCTTGGATGCCGTGAATATCGTCAATATTTGTGATGACCATCTGGACCATCCGAATTTAATATTTTCTCATCAGTAAAAATTAGGTTTTCAAACTCGTGCTTCCAAAACCTTTATTTGTCGCATAATAAAACACGGCCATTTTTATGTCGCTTCTTCATTCGCGTCTGGGTTAGTTTTGATTCAAAGTTAAGTGCCATTTCATGTTTCATAATTTGCTGAACACGCTGTCTAGTGATTGGTAGGCCAAATTCTACTTGTATCTGCCTGCAACTCAGTCCTTCGCTAGTTGGTAAGTGATGAATGCGTCTCTTGGTGCGCAAATCAACTGCTAACTGACCAGTTCGCTAGATGACACGATAGTTTTGAGGATCTTTCAAAAAATGTGCAACCGTATTACGATGTCGGTTCACTAAAGCAGCATTTAGACCAATTTTTATGCCGGCTTCATTCATTCCAATTATCCTACCCCGCTACCTATCCGAAAGTTGTATACCACGTGGCATTCTTACTATATAATTAAAATTAATTGTAATAAATTATATTTCTATGCACTAGATTTAATACCTTTAATTTTCTTCTTCTCCAATTTTTTTACTTTAGGTAAAAACTAAATTTATTTGTCGCCTGTACAGCTGCCAGAACACAAATAGATGAATTTGCACATATAATTATTTTCTATGGAACTTATGTAATGAAAAAAAATGCAAATATAATTTTAATTTTGTTTTTGTTTACTACATCCTATGAAGCCATAAATAAAAATATATACTATCAAAATAAATAATGTGTTCTCGATACTTTAAATTGAAGTTGATGTATTGCACATATAACTCTTTTACGAAGGTATTATATACCGTCCATTTACTTCAATAGTGTTATAACTAAAAATATAATTTGTTTAGGTTGTTATTAGATACATTATATTAGTTTAATAAAAAATACTGAGTTATTGTGTTCATGAAGAGCTACATCTCAAAATTTCATAATTTGCATTTATAATATTTATTTATACTTAATAAAAGTACTTAATTTTGGTACTTAATATAATAATATAATATTTAATACATAATAAAAATTATGTTAACATAGTAGCTCCAATGATCAACTCGCTTGTGCCTTAATAATGTAGGGCTACCAATAAAATATCTAATTTCATTACTTTAGATTGCTATTTGTATAAAATATATTACACATATTTCTTTGCGAAATATAGTTTTTTACATAATTTCGTGAGGCAAATAAGCATGAATTATTTAAAAACAAGAAAACAACGTTAAACTAGGCTACACTGAAGCTATAATACCCTTCACAGCTGCATTTTTTATACTCTCGCAACCTGTTGCTACAGAGTATAATAGTTTTGTTCACCTAACGGTTGTTTGTATCACCTAAAACTAATCGAGTTAGATATAGGGTTATTTATATATAAATGATCAGGATGAAGAGACGAGTTAAAATCCGGGTGACTGTCTGTCCGTCCGTCCGTCTGTCCGTCCGTGCAAGCTCTAACATGAGTAAAAATTGAGATATCTTTATGGAACTTGGTAGACATGTTTCTTGGTACCGTGAGACGGTTGGTATTGCAGATGGGCGTAATCAGACCACTGCCACGCCCACAAAACGCCATTAATCAAAAACAAATAAATTGCCATAACTAAGCTCCGCAATAAGATACAAGACTGTTATTTGGTACACAGGATCACATTAGGGAGGGGCATCTGCAGTTAAATTTTTTTTTTTTTAAGTGGGCGTGGTCCCGCCTCTAATAGGTTTAATGTGCATATCTTCTAAACCGCTAATGCTATAATAACAAAATTCACTAAAAGCAAATGTTTTTAGCACTTCTATTGACGGTGAGAAAATAGTTGAAATCGGGTGGCAACTCCGCCCACTCCCCATATAACGGTACTGTTAAAAACTACTAAAAGCGCGATAAATCAAGCACTAAACACGCCAGAGACATTAAATTTTATCTCTGGAATAGTATGATATGACTTTATAGGAACCGCGTTCAAAATTAGTCAGTGGGTGTGGCACAGCCCACTTTTAGGTGAAAACCCATATCTTGGGATCTGCTTAACCCATTTCAACCAAATTCGGTGCATAACGTTCTTTTCATATTTCTATGTTATATTGCGAAAATGGGCGAAATCGGACTACAACCACGCCTACTTCCCATATAACACCATTTTCAATTCCATCTGATTCTCTCACTTTCCACTGTGCATATCAAGCAACAATGATTATATCGGGGTAAAACTTTGCGTGAATAATACGTTTAATGTATGCCACCTTGTGACCAAAAATTGTCTTAATCGAACCAAAACTGTTGAAGCCCCTAAGTCCTAATATGTGGACCCCAGTGCCTATAGTTGACCTTCTACCGAAAATATCAGCCAATCCACAAAGAAATCTCAAACGAGTATACCATTTCACTTTGCGAGTGTATAAAATGTTCGGTTACATCCCTTCCTTACTTGTTATAGCATAAAATGGTAACATTAACTTGATTCTGATCTATCAGTTTTTATGGCAGGAGTTTATATGCTATAAATGTCCGATTTGAACATTTTTTTCGGATAATTTTTCATACAAGGACTTGAGCTCGATCGCTTATTTTATATTATATGACAGCTACATATATACTATGCCAAATAAAAAAGTTTTCCATATGAGGATTTGAGTTTGATCGGTCAGTTTGTATGGCAGCTATATGCTATAGTTTTCCGATATCGGTTCCGATAAATGAGCAGCTTCTTGAGTAGAAAAGGACATGCGCAAAATTTTAACGATATCGATATCTCTAAAACTGAGGGACTAGTTCGCGTATATACGACAGACAAACAGAAAAACGGCCATGGTTAAATCGACTCAACTCGTCATGATGATCATTTATATACATTTTTTATAGGGTCTTCAACGTTTCCTTCTGGGTGTTAAAAACTTCGTGGCAAACCTCATATACTTTGTGCAGACCATGATAATAAACATATGTTACATTGCAGAAACGTTTACAAAGACTTTTTGGGGGGAAATTTGATTTTTGTCGTGCTAATTAAACGAGATCCAGACTTTAAGGAGGGGAAGAATAAGGCTTTTAATTTTATCTTTTTATTATAAATGAATGCATAATATCTCAAAAATTGTGTGCCTAAATTTCAAGTCGACATCAGATATCAAAACTTTAAAGCGTTGTCTCCACAAGTTACGTTTTCAAAGTATCATAACTTCAAAACTAATGAACAAAATAGCGGATCGTTTTGAAATTTTTTCGCAAAAAATGGCGTTTTTTCTTTCAAAGTGTTCCCAAAAAGTGAAAAGTTTTAATTTCGAAATTTTTACGATATAATTTTGAGTTTTTGATGATCCAGTAATGAGTTATGAGGGGCACTGCAATTTAATTTTTTTCCGAGACGCTGCAGAGAATTTGCTGCCGGTGCCGTATTTGTTAATATTTCGTCATGAAAATTTAACAGAATATTCTACAAAAGGCATACTAAATTAACAATCGGTTTTTAAAAGTATATTTTAACTGTTTCATCAAAAATAAACATATAAATATGGGTCTTGTTTAACACGAATAATTCCTACTCCCTCCTTAAACACTGTGTACATATGTGCGGGGCCCGATCTAAGGAGGGCAAGCCGGGTATTTGCCCAGGGCGGCAAAATATGAGGGAATTTACTTTTTCCTATCTTTAAACTTTTTGTTCGATATTTTTGAAGTAGTAGATTTCAATACAACACAAGATTTGCGACAGTATAAGTTTATCAGATGTTATTAAAGATTTTGCAGAACGAAAAGTGCGTAGAAAAGTACTATAATTACGAGGTAGGATTAAATATTCTCTGAAAAACTGTTTAATTTTATTGATGAATTGTGACTGATTTGTTTTGTAGTAACATAATTGTTTATTTATCAGTATTAAATTTTAAAACAAATCTTTTGTTGTGCCTTTTTTATACGTACCGTATGAGCCTTAACTTAAATTATATGAACTGATTGACTATAATAAACAATTAAACAGCCTAATCTTTTTAACTTCTGAAACGATTTTGGTGAAAAATTTTTATTGTTCCTTTAGCTAAAGGGCAACATTAGAAATAAATATACAACATTAGCCCGAAACAGGGAAAATAGCACAAGGGAAAAGAGGCCCATACGCAGCAGTGAGTCGCAATAGGTTGATGATGATGATAAAGTTGAAAGGTCCATAACTATGTCGATAAAAAAATATATCAATTTCTGTGAAATTCCTTATAAAGACATACATTGTAAAGACTAACATAAAAAAACTCATCAACTTTCGTATAGGTACTTCTTCAGAAGGCCCAATAGACTGACGTGAATATTATAGGTAGCTAGATCGGGCCTTGCATATGTGTGTATGAATATGAGGTACATATCTGTCTACAACTATATATTAAACCTCATAATTGACTACATAATGTTTATGCTACTACGAAAATATTACAGTTATGCATTAAATTGGACAATTCGTTCAAAGTATTTAAATCAATTTAATGCTCATTTATTTCTTAACTTATTAGATAATAACTTAAACTTGTGAGTTTACAAAATTTTATGATTAAATTAGATAATTAATATTATTTATAAATAAATTAATATTTGTTATTAATCTTTTATCTGTGGGGTTTAACGTATATATATATATATATATACACGCATATCTTTTTATGTCATTGGTCAAGGCAGTTTGTTAGTTGGCGCTCTTACCTGCCTAGAATTTTGCTAACACATCCGTTGGACACTTGCAGAATGCGCGATATATCACAGGGACGCGCACCTGAATGCGCTAACTCGACGATCTTCTGGCGCGTCGAATCTGGCAGCGGTCGTCCGTTGACATAGACGCCACCAAGCTGATTAATGCCGCTATGCCCTGCCGTCGAGCAGCCAAAAAGTGCGCTCTGACTGACCGAAGATGCATGGCCATGCATGAGGTGTTCTGTAGTTAGCATCATCATCGGAAGTTTTTATTTTTGACTATACTTATATCGTGGGTTATGAGTGTGAATAACAATAAAAATGTCGTTAAGAACCGCACATTTAAAGCGAGTTTGCTTATTGTTGTTGAAAATAATTGGTCATGTTTGTCATTAACACATTTTTTGTAGCAAAGGAGAAATGAGCGTACGTATAACTTTAATTTTTAATTATGATCTATATTATACATTCCAACACGTTTTAGTTCGATGTATTGTTTAAGATATCAATATAAATTATAATTTCAACACTTTTTGTTTTACTTTTATTAGCTAAGTTTGCAACATTCCCGTTATGAATTTTTTATCATTCATTGAATTTACAAATATTTAGAATAGAGTTCAATTGTTGTTATTATGATGCGGCAATTTTAAAAATAGGTATACAAATTTTATTATGTTTATTTATGTTATTATTACACATACTGTTTAAGGTTGATATATGGGAAATGCCGTAGCTGTATTTGTTGGAGCGCAATTAATTACTCTGTGAGATTTTCGATGGCAAGATTTCTTCAGGCGTTGATCCTTTTTTAAATATATCATATATACATATAATTTATATTATATAAATATATATAACGGTGGGTATTTTTTTGCACAAAAATTTCGCTTTTAGATAAACTGATTAAGTATAATTTTTCTCGTTGTGTCCAGCAAAATTTTAAAAATTTCACTTTTACTTTATTTTGAACTTTAAATTTAACTATTTGTCACGTTTTTCTTGATTATTTGCTTTTTTCAATGGAATTTTTTATAATATATATATAATTCACTAATTTCCAAGTGTGATATTTTAGTGGTTTTAGATAATCAGATACATTATTTCATTGGCTTACACACAGCCAAACACCTGTACGCGCAGCTATGACACGCGCGCATAGACACGGGTGAAGAAAAACATTAGCAAAAAATATAAGTTCGAGACTTTTTCACAGCTTAATGAATTTTGATTTTGGCTGTTTGGCTTGGTTTGGCTCAACTTCCCTTGGCGATGTTCGGTTTACTTGGGTTGACGCGTTGCTGTCTCCCAGGCGATACAGCGCACTTAGCGAAGCGAAACGTTAATGAGCTCTCAAGCGAAAAAATACACCAACAAACCAACGAACCGAAGAACCAACAAATCAACAAGCACGAACGTGCATAAACGATAAGATGACGAGGTCGGAGCACACGAACTATGTAGTATGGACGCACTCAACAAAGCATGTACATAATTACATAAGTGTATACAAATATGGACCTATGTATGTATTGTAAGTATAGAAAAATGTGCGCTTGTTTACTATTTGTGAACGCTTTTGGGACCGAAATCGTTCAACAGACGACAGCAATGCGCTTCAAAAATCGTGTGGCCAAGCCCGATGCTACAATGAAAGCCGCATCAAACGAAGCGAAATGACTGAAACCTCGGCAGTTGCTTCAGTGACTGCGGCGACAACAACTGCCACGCAGCAAACTCAGTCATATGAGTTGGCAAAATACAAGTGCACGTATGTTCATACATATGTATATGCATGGTTGTACAAACTCAAACACATACATATACATATGTATCCGTAAACAATTTGAAAATCTGATATGTTAGTAACAAAGCGCGAACCTCTCTAGCACAGTTAGTCCCGACCACCTTTGCAAATGTGTACAGAGCTGCCAAATATTTTTAATTACGTTGCACATTTGTTGTAACTTCTACTTTCGTATTTAAAATACTCTTATATATATGCCTTAATAACGCAGACGTCTTAGCTGAATGCGTCAGCAAAACTTTAAACAATTTTAAATTGGATGAAAACACATTAAGAATATCAAATAGGAATATGCGCACATCCAGTTACATAAGTTATGGGGTACATACAATTTTAATAATAAGGGTATAAATTAATTATGGATATATTGTAACATTTGAAAATTAACATTTCAGCCATGATCTGCTCCGTTTACATAGAGATCGAGCCGACTGTTTAAACTCACATCCAAAATTATTGCTAAATACACGAATTTCAGGTAACTATTTTGAAGAAACAGAACGCAATCGAACAACAGAATTTTCATAGAAACCTCGATTCGTAAAACCTTGATTGTCCGTTTTTGAGTTCAAACGCAATTCAACAAAAAAAATTTCGTTGAAACCTCGATTCGTGTGACCGTTATTGCCAGTTGAATTTAAACGCAAACCAACAACAAATTTTTTTTGAAACTTGAATTCATGACTTCGATTTGTGAAACATTTATTGTCACCAATATGCACATATCTATAACCAAAGCGAGCGAAAGTTACGGGTTTATAAATTCATCCGTAAAAGCAGAGTTAAGGAACAAATGTACCCACACTGTAATAAATTAGACCACACTTTGTACACATAATGAAATAATACAAATCAAATCCACTCCGCAATATCCATACATATATATGTATGTAAACTATTGCTTTTTACTATCAACTAAGCACTACTATTGCTATTAGGTCAATCCTACTACTGTTAATTTAAATTACTAAAATTATGTAGCGAAATATTACCTACCATACGAATTGTAAATATATATTGTACATAAAAGTCTTCTTAACATATGTAGAATTTACGGAAAACCATATTTTAATATACTAAATCAAAATACGATTTATAAACATACATATACGTAGTTTATATTACATTTAATTTAAAAATTTTAGTCGGTAGACCCCTTATACGCATTATATACATAAATATATAAATGTATGTATGTACGTTTGTTAATGTGCGCAAATGTTAGCCAACCAGAGGACCAACGTCATAAAAATGTTCGAAAAGAAAGAAATATACAAAATGAGCTTGATGGCTGCTGGGTAATTCGTTACCGCCACAATAAAACACACAACGTTGATAACAAGTCAACAGCTGCCGTACTAACTGTAAACACTAAAGTATTAAGATACATAAACGTGTACCTCTCACGTATCGAACAGCCATATACACTTATACACACGTATCAGAACAAAAAGGGAGGAAAAATGAAACAAACATAAAAAGCATTTCGGTTGCAGCCCCAACAAAAATCTAACAGAAAGAAAGACAGATATTTCGAATTGTCGTGGACGGAAAAGGTAGACGATATATGCGAGGAAGAGAGTGAAATATATAAAACTAAAATCTTAAAAAAAAACTGCACCAATATAAGCACGCATGAAACAGAAAATGAATAACTCACCGAATGGCCATGAGAGCCAAAGAGTCGATAGCCGAACGCGAAATCTGACTTGTTAGGAGATGGCTGTTGGCCGCAACCGTCAGTGGTCTGAGGACTCAGATGTTTTCGACTAATGTGAGTGGTTTTATACATCATTCGAATATATATATATATAACATATATAATAATATATATATATATATATGTATGTATGTATATATGAATGTTGGGCAACGTAAAGGACGCTTTACTTAAGATTATATATTACACTAGGGTGCAAATTTCTTTCTCTGTACAAGTGAAAATCTGTTCATTGATAATAAAAATAAGTTTCTAAATAAATTTATTAAAAAACTAAACCACATAAATATGCATTAAAAAACCAAATTGAACGGTGTTATACGATGATTATTTAGCATCGTTTCATTTTCACTTAAATTGTAAATTTGTAGTAACTTCAAACATTTTTACAGTTGCTTGAGGGTGGTTCCTATTCTATTTTCGGGTCGGCTTTAGTTTAGCATCCCACGATTTCAGGGTCAAGAGGGGTATGGCTGGATAGAGGAGATTCTCCTGATCACGAATTATTGTCGCCGGAAACTTATAGTTTTCGAGATATTTGCATTTTAAGTTGAAAATTTCACAAATTTTATTTTACAATTTCTCGATTTATGGTTAACTTTTCTTTTATATTATGCACTTATTATACACTAACACTTCACTTCAATGTTTCTACATATTTATTTTATATTAAATATTTAAGTATTTGCTTTAAATAAGCATTTTATTCTTACACAATTTTCGTTATATGAACAATAACAAATTGGTTCCATGTATCAGTGAATTTTGTTATTATAGCTTTAGCAGTTAAGGAGATATGTACATTAAACCTATTAGGGGCGGGACCACGCCCATTTAAAAATTTTTTTTTTAACTACAGATGCCTCTCCTTAATGTTATCCTGTGTACTAAATAACAGTCTTGTATTTTATTGCGGAGCTTAGTTATGGCAATTTTTTTTGTTTTGATTAATGGCGTTTTGTGGTCCAATTACGCCCATCTGCAATACCAACCACTTACGGTACCAAGAAACATGTGTACCAAGTTTCATAAAGATATCTCAATTTTTACTCAAGTTACAGCTTGCACGGTCGGACGGACGGACAGACAGTCACCCGGATTTCAACTCGTCTCTTCATCCTGATCATTTATATACATATAACTCTATATCTAACTCGATTAGTTTTAGGTGATAAAAACAACCGTTAGGTGAACAATACTATTATACTCTGTAGCAACAAGTTGCGAGAGTTGATAACAAGCGACGAAAACTGTCAGTCAGCGTAGGCATCCGTGGAGGCAGGAAGAGAAAAAACGGATCTGCAATAGGTCCATTTTGGAAACCATGCGCCGAAGTAATGCGAAAGTGGTCCCGGGGCAAGGGAAAAATCCATGACAGAAGGGGGGAGCATTTTAATGGCCAGAGCCGCTATGAAAAAAACCGGACTCAGGAGTAAATACTTCTAATACTTGATAAATTATAATATATTATTTATCTTCTTATTTACTACTTCAATGTTTTTAAAGAATATCAAATATGATGTAATGTTTGCTCTCATCACATCTGTATTAAGTTTGCTTTCTTGTTGATGTTGGGTGGAACAAATTTATTTTGTACGATTTTGAAAATCAATAATGTATAAATCAGTCCATACATAGATTTTCAGTCAAAAGTACTTTTTCAGATTATACCGGAATATATGAATATACTTGTAGGGATAGCAAAACTAGACAGTTAACAAGAAAACAGAAAGATCTCATTCAAATATGTATTTATCGATCTAATTAATGAAAGAACGGTTCTTTTGAAATCTGTTGACTATTATGAATAAGTTTTTGAATAAGCTGCTTAAACTTCTCCAATATTAAATTATTTAGAACTTAGAAATGAGCTTTTCGAGCTTTAGCGGCATCGAATGCGTCGATAATAGTCTGGAAATCCAACTTTTTGGCTAATTCTACTTTTAGGCGCAGTGTAGCTAGTCCCGAAATCTTTCCCTGTAACGAGTATGATCGATAAAAATTGTCAAAGCATTAAACGAACGTTCACCACTTAAAACAGAACGGGTAAAATGTAAAATATTCTTAAAGAAGGCATATATTTGGGAAAAGTCTTCCTAATTTAATTAATGGCATTCAATAAGTTGCATGGAGTAAGACGGGTTTCCTATTTGCATTGTAAACGAGTCTGAAGTGAATAGCTTCATTGGACAACTTTTCAGTTGCGTTGAGTTCAGAACGATTATTTTATATCACTCACTGCGGCGACTCGTCTCTTTATTCCACAGATAACGCTGACAAGTATGACATAGAAAGTGTTTCTTTTGAATATAATTTCTTCTTTACCGCAATTTCTTCTTTACCACAATTTTCATCCATTTCTTCAAATCGCGCGATCTTGTATCGATTGCCTCTTTATAACATTATTTAACACACATTTCCTACTTATTTATTATTAGCACACTACAAGATTTATTAGCATGGACTGTAATTTTTTAACAGACCCGTTTTTTTCTCATTGATACAAGTATTTCATTTGAGTGTTGCTGAAGATTCTACGGATACGATAATACCGTGACAGAAACTCAGTTTTTCTTACAAATTTGGGAAATTTCCAGCTGCTTGTACGGCATACGGGCTCTGAAAGCTATGCAAAGTTGTTTGCAAATTGAATATTTCAACTCAGCTTAAGTACAGCCTTCAAACTGTAAGTCACAAAATTAAGTTGGCTTTTAGCGAAAATACGGGCCTCTGCGAAAACTCCGGGCTTGGGGGAATTCTGAATGGAACAGTTTGCAGTTTTTTTATCTTGTCTGAAGCTAAATTTAATATTCCGGCTCACTTTTCGACTCAGTTTAGTCCCTTACCGTTAAAATCTTGTGGGTAAAATTGTGAACAAAGCAAACCTTTCCGTCGCATATGTCATGACTTTAAATTCTCATTCCGGCACCTTTGATTTATCTGGCTCACTTGTCAAAATTAAAAAGACTATATTATTTTTTCTTAATAAATAAAATCGTAACAATTTATTGTAACTTTTAAAATCTTAGCTGTTGAAATTTCTGTGGCTGAACCATTTTAAAAACACGACACTCAAAAAACGCTCTTACCTTTCATGACTCGGCTAATTCCGCACCTGTGCTAATATAATAGTCCGGTAACAGAATACCAAAATGTACTTTACGAGTGAAAAGCGACTAAGTACTGTAGG